AGAAAGAAAGAAAGAAAGAAAGAAAGAAAGAAAGAAAGAAAGAAAGAGGTGTGGAGAAATGGCTTAGCAGTTAAGAGCAGTGACTGTTCTTTTAGAGTAACTAGGTTTGATTTTTGATACCCCATACCTGTTTACAACTGTCTCTAACTCCAGTTCCAGGGGATCCAACGCCCTCTTCTAGCTTCTGTGGGCACTAGGCAGGCACACAGTACTCAGACTTATATGCAGGCAAAACACCTGTTCACACAAAATACAACAACAACAACTTCAGCACAATGGAGGAAATGGCCCTACTCCAGGCACGGGGGAGGCGTGTGTCTCAGTGATCTTTCATTTCATTTTATGCCAATTCCCAGCACAAGAGGAAGGAGAGGAGTGGAGGGGAGAGCAGAGAAAGGGGGGGGGGGAGAAGAAAAAAAGAGGAAGGAAGAAAGGAAGGAAGGAAGGAAAAAAGGAAGAGTGGGAGAAATGTAGAGCAATTTTAATCTGCAGCATGACTATTCTGGCAAGGATTCACACCCAAAGATCTAGGTCCCTGTGATCCAACTGGAATGCAGACAGGCCACACATCTTTAATCCCTTTGGTTGGAATACAGACACAACCTTAGTACACATCTTTAAGGTAAAATTAGTTTTGTAGAAGGAAACAGCCATGTTTGAAAGTGATGTCTAATTGAGGGGCAGACAAAGTGATGAATCAGAGAAGGATTTGACCGAATGAATCAGAGATAGGATACGCCCAACTCTCAAAAGAACAGCACAGGAAAGAGAAACTACTTAAAAGCAGCACAGGGAGAGACGGAGGCAGCTGGGAGGCAGTGCAGTGAGTGCAGTGCAGTGGAGTTGGGTTTGTTGTGAGTTCATGCCATTCAGTGCAGGTCAGCAGAGGCAGCTGAAGCCAGAAAATAAGAAGTCAGAAGATTAGAATAAATTGCTAGAGTTAATTTGAGGCCAAGCAGAGTAATTCAGTGAGAAGCTGAGAGAAGCCAGATCGAATCAGTCAACTTGGAGAGCAGTTTGAGACAGAACAGCTGAGTTGAACCAGCCAGCCAGAGTTCAGAAAGAGCTAAAAAGGGTGAGGTTATTCTGCAGCAAGCCTCCATGTGGTGACAATTACATCAGGCGAATAAAAGTTACCTTTACAGGGAAGAAGGGACAGTCCATTTCAAAGGACATCACTGCAGAAGTTCAGGATAGCAAGAGCAAAGAGAACTGCCTATAAACTGAGTGAAGCAGATGAGCCAGGTGCTGTGGTCCAGGCCAGTACCACTGCTGCTTAGGAAGTTGAAGCAGATGGGTCAAGAGTTCCAGGCCACCCTGAGCTACATAAGGAGACCCTGTCACAAGGAAACCAAGAATAGTAAAACAGGGTAACCAAGTGCCACCCTGTCCAGCTTCTGTGTGGGTGCTGGAGGCTGGAGGTTCAAACACAAGTCCTCACATTTCTATTTGCCCAGCCCCTAGTGGGTGGTTTTTGTTTTGTTTTTAGATTTATTTATTTTATCTTACATGTATGCTGACTTTGCCTGAATGAACGCATGTGCACCACACACATGCCTTGTGCCCTAGGCGATCAGAAGAGGGCATCAGATCCCTGGAACTAGAGTTGTGAATGGTTGGGTGCCATGTGGCTAGGGAGACATGAACCCAGGTCCTCTGCAAGAACAAGTGTTCTCAGCTACTGAGCCATCTCTCCAGCCCTGAGTGTGTGCTTCAAACTCACAGCTCATGCTAGTCTGGTCACACCTCATTTCAAGGGCCTATTACACATGTGTGGTCCAAGGCCGCCATATTGGCTAGCACAATACCCAGGTAGGGGTGGGGTGGGGTGGGGAAAAGATGAATTAAAGCAGCAAAGGGATTGAGATAGAAACTCGGTGAGAATTTGTAGCAGACCTGGATGGAAGTCACTTTCCTCCTGGAACCCCTATCTCTGTTCCATGGAATAGCTGGGAGTATTTGGACAGATTTGGTTATTAATTAACTGACTGAGAGCCAAGGCAGAAGTTGGAGGTGGGGGTGAGAATACAGCTGCCTTAGCCTGGCAGTGTCTTAGTAGAAGGGGGCAACAGTGTTCTTTCCAGAGGAGCGAAGGGTAAGTTCAGATCAGGAAGTTGAGTGAGAAGACACTCTTGAGAGGGTTTGGGTAAGGGTGGAAGTCCAGAGGGGCTGTCTGCTCTCTTATCTACAAAACTGGGCTGCAGTGGACTTTGAGCACAG